GATATGTGGTCCCATTCCCTCTCAAAGTGGGAAAGAAGCTGATATTGATTCAGTGGAAAATGTACTAGTTACGAGAATAACCGCTGATCATGTACCACAGCAAAAATTATCATTACTGGAAGAAATGAATGAACCAGTTGATAAGTTGTGGGATTTAGATGTGATAGGTATTGATGTAAATAAACCAAACCCACAAGAGTCTCAGACTTATAACCAATATTTGGACACTGTCAAATATGAAGATGGACAGTATTGGTTTAGGTTACCATGGAAATTAAATCCACCACATCTGCCTAGCAATTATCGCATGGCTTTCGGACAGATGAAAGCACAAATACATGAGCTCAGGAAGAATCCAGAGCTACTGACTGTCTATGATAATATCATACAAGAACAGTTGGACAATAAATTCATTGAGGAAATAGTCGAAGATAAGTTGAAGACAAAAGCTCATTATCTCCCGCACCATGGAGTCAGAAAAGATTCTGAAACCACTCCACTACGTGTTGTATATAACTGCAGCGCACGTGCAAATAAAGAAGTAGCAAGTCTTAACGACTGTCTGATGACCGGACCCTCACTAACTGAGAAGCTTGGAGACGTGCTTATGAAATTTCGCACAAACCCATATGCCTACAAGGCTCATATTTCCAAAGCTTTCTTAAGAGTAGGACTACAAGAAATAGATAGAGATTATACTCGATTCTTGTGGCCTGAAAATCCACATGATCCTCAAATTCCTGTGAAAACTTATCGTTTCAAATCAGTATTATTTGGTGCAACATCCTCTCCATTCTTACTAGAAGCTACTCTAAATACACATTTGAAGAAATCTGAAAGTCCCTTCAAAGAAATCTTAAAGAAAAGTTTCTATGTGGACAATCTTCAAGGTACTGTGAATAAAGAGGAGGATTTGAAATCCTTATACAGAGAAGCTAACAAGGAGATGAAAGAAGCAAATATGCCTCTAAGGATGTGGAATACTAATTCAAAGCAATTAAGGGAACTTATCAAAGAAGATTTCCCTGAAGCTGAAATTCCTGATTGCAACAATATGCTGGGACTTAATTGGAACACACAGGAAGATACTTTGAGTCTCAAAAAGATCAACAAATCATGCAGTCCACTCACTAAACGTAGTTTACTGTCAGAGGTATCTCAATGTTTTGATCCTCTAGGACTCGTTTCACCAATTACCATAAAAGGTAAAATGCTTATGCAAGATGCATGGAAACTCAAAATTGGATGGGATGAGAACTTGCCTCGAGAAATGAGTCAAGCATAGGATGAAATATCCAAGGAGTTTAAGCAACTTCATCAAATTACATTTCCCAGACAAACAGGTCAAGAGGGAAACAATTACACAGTACATGTGTTCTGTGATGCGTCAACCAGAGGTTATGGCGCTGTAGCTTACATGAGTAATGCTGAAGGAAGTACACTAATTACTTCAAAGGCCAGGGTAGCACCCTTGAAGGTCAGAACACTACCACATTTGGAACTAACAGCACTCTATGTAGGTACAAAATTAGCTGTCTATCTCAAAGTACTTGATCATCTCACTATTGAAAAAACCGTGATCTGGAGTGATAATGAAGCAGTTCTCCAGTGGCTAAGAAATAATAAGAGTAAGTTGGTCTATGTACAGAACAGAGTAGCAGAAATAAAAGAGATGCAGAGAGATTATCTCTTTCTCCACGTCTCTACCCAAGAGAATCCAGCTGACATGTTGTCACGTGGTGTCCCACTCAAGAAATTTGTGGATAATAAATTATGGCTCCACGGACCGAACTGGCTCTCTAATAAAAATAACTGGCCTCAGCAAAAAGCTCACATTATGCCAGAAGAAACAGTCTGCTTGAACACAGCAGAAATAAGTTGTGTAAATACTGCAGACACGACAGAAATAGTCATTGATGGATCTAAATACTCATCTTTTGGTAAACTCTTAAGAGTTACAGCTCTTGTCTTTAAATTCATTAAAGGAATAAAACCTGATTATGAATGTCTTGAACCCATTAAATACTGGGTGAAACTAATACAGAAAGATGTTTTCTCTACAGAATATAAATTTCTAGAAACACAAGATAAATCCCCAAAGAAACCTGTTATGATTAATTCTTTAGGACGTTATCTCGACTCAGAAAAGATTATAAGATGTCGAGGAAGAATTCATAATTCTTCACTACCTAAAGAAGCCATACATCCAATATTGATCCCCAAGAATCATTGGCTAACAAAACTGATTGTGCAAAACGCCCACAGTAACGTGTTACATGGTGGGGTAGCTGACACACTTTATCATATACGACAATCCTACTGGATACCTCAAGGTCGACAAAGTGTGAAAAAACAAATAAAGGACTGTATTTCTTGTCGTCACTACGATATGCGAGTATGTCAGTATCCAGGTCCACCTCCATATCTCTCTGAAAGAGTTTGTCATATTACTCCATTTGAGGTGACAGGTGTAGATTACACTGGACCAATAATTTTAAACAAAACAGTTGACAAAGTTCCCATCAAGGTGTACATCTGTTTGTTAGCTTGTGCTACAACTAGAGCAGTACATCCAGAAGTAGCCACTGACATGTCTGCTGAAACCTTTATCAAATTATTCAGAAGGTTTGCAGCCAGAAGGGCATGTCCCAGACTGATGATTTCAGATAATGCAACGAACTTTGTTGCTGGTGCTGCTTATATAAGCAAGATCTTTGATCAACCAGAAGTACAACAGATGCTGAATCAACGCAGTTGTCGTTGGAGATACATTCCTCCTAAATCTCCATGGCACGGCGGATTTTATGAAAGAATGATCGGCATTGTAAAACGTTGTTTAAGGAAGACTCTTCATCGTCAGAGAATCGACTTTGAAGAATTCTATACAGTTGTGACTGAAATAGAAAATAGAGTCAACAACAGACCTCTAACTTATGTTACCGATGATCTGGACAATTTAGAAGTGTTAAGTCCATCTCATTTACTCCATGGCAGAAGGCTCGAACCTGTTCCTCCCATGAATGATAAAGAAATCATAGAGGATCCTTCTTTTTTCGAACCTGAGCAACTCAGACGTAAATTCAAACACCTTAATAAAGTGATTGAACGTTGGGAGAAAATTTGGCGAGAAGACTATCTCACCTCATTGAGAGAACACTTCTATGGAGCTGGTGTTCCTGAAAATCATAAGTCCTTAAGACCTGGTGACATAGTGATTATCGACAATGATGGTCCGAGGTCCCAATGGCCACTTGGAAAAATTGTGACCATATATCCTGATGCAAATGGAATCATCAGGACAGTTGATGTTTTAAGCAAAGGTGTAGTGAATAAGCAGACAATAAATAAACTAGTACCGTTATAATTACACAGTGTTGAAAACAAAATTAGTGATTCTCCAGAAACCACACAGACTAAAGCTGTTAAGAAAAGACAAGCAGCAGTGGTGGCGAGTGAGAAAATTAAATTAATGTTAAGTGATGAATAGTTCACATGCAGCGAACCTCCACCGCCCCCCAGTGTGGAGAAATTTTCTCCAGGAGGGGGGTATCAGCCCCCTTCAGCCCCTTTCAGCCCTTTCAGCCCTGAGGGGCCCAGCCCTCTCAGAAGGGGCAAGTGTCTTGTTTACTGCTACAGTGAGTAATTGATCGCAGATGCAGTACGAGTATGCGACGTGGTCAAGCGATCGCTGCTCCTTGCAGTCCAGTGTTGCAGAGTGTATTTTAATAAGAGACAGTACATCTCTTACTTTAGCAGGACAATTAAGGAAAATCCTGCTCCCACTTTATTACCATAGTAAAGATAGTGGACATTGTTGTCTATGCTTAAGACAGCAAGATTTAAACATTCTGCTTTGCTTCATCGAGGAAGTGGCAAGGAAACAAAAGTACTAGGTCAGCTTTTCCTTTGTGCTAGGGGAGTAACGGCGTGGGGTGCTGTGGCGTCTTCAGATTACTTTTGACTACTGAGAGTGACACTGACGCCAGGATAACCAACAAAGAACGATCTGTGCGTTAGTGTGAAAAAAGTGTCTCATAAAACACAATAAACACTTAAGTGTGATCAGCTTCTTTAGTGATAAGATTGTGAACAATAAAGACAAATCTTGTGGAACATAGTGTACCAGTGTGCGTTTTCCTAGATTATAAATTACCCCCTAGGGGTAATTTATAATCTTACAAATTATAAATCTTTACAGCCCGTTGAGAGATGACTTCGACAGCTTCTCAAGACCTCGTCTGCAGGGGCGACTGTGCAGGTGATGAGCTGTCTTTCTAATTTAAGTACAAACTCTTTAAACTTAGCTGGTAATGCCATTTCTCACAATAATTATATATATAATATATATATATATATATATATATATATATATATATATATATATATATATATTATATATATATATATATATTATATATTATAGAAAAGGTTTGCAACCCTTATATCACATTTAACAACGTACATTAAGCTTTCTGATAAATCAGTAAAGTTACCATAATCAGGATTCGTTTTGGAAAGATGATGTACTTGGCACAGAATAAAATAAACATTAAAGAATAAAAAGTCACAATACCGTGGCTGGAACAATGCACAAATAACTTGCACTTAGAAGAAGGAAAGTAATGACATTTCGGTCCGGCCTGGACCAGAGAAAAGTCCGGTGTTGTAAATGGTCAAGGTAGGACCAAGAGGCTGCCATTACTTTTCCTCTCCTAAATGTGAGTTATCTGTATATATTATGCATACTATCATTAAAATATTTAACATGGATGCACTGACAATGATTCTGCAATTATTTTGTTCATTCCGAAAAAAAAACTTTAGTTTACCACTTCCTGACGAATCTAGTTTTCTTTTATTATGTTTTGCTTTGGAGTAGTGACCCCCTGAGTGTTGGAAGACATGTAAACCACATAATTTTAAATCCTTCATATTTGCTGTATCGTTATTGTATTAACAGTGACAGGCAGTTACACACCTTCAGAAGCTCAGACGTTTACCTTGTGTACACCTGTTTTGAAGAGCTAGCTTGGTAGAGACAACTTCTGTGAGGTTCAACATTGTCCTCAGCACAGTCTTGATACCTGAAACCGTATACAAAGGTTATTATATATATTATAATATATATATATATATATATATATATATATATATATTATATATATATATATATATATATATATATATATAAAATATAGGGAGGTACCACCTCTGGAACTGTCACGTGTGTGTGTGTGTCTGTGTGTGTTTACTTTTAGACATTTTCGTGGTAATTTTGCAACAAGAATTTTCAGCATACTTGGTTAGCAAAATAATCGTTTCTAAACGAAGATCACATATTCTGCCTAGAGTCACCACAACTACACACATCTTTGTATTTTCATTCTACCTTTCCTGCCATAAGACACTTTTTGGTGGTTGGACCAGCGGATCCTATCAGTAAAGCCTGGGTTTTAATTTCTTGTGTCAGTGTAGTTCTGATGCTTTGCTTGTATCATTATTATCAAAACGAGTATCGTATAATTAGGTAAATTTACTTAAGCATCTAACTGGCTTTATCAAGTCAACTTAAACAATGTATTGCTTGTAATTGACAGATAAAACTCCTATAGAGCGAGAAATAGCCGTATTAAATCTCATTAAGTTGCTAAGGTGACTTTTTTTGTCTGGTGACAATGGGATTTATCGTTTTACGAAGAATTTGCTTGAATACTTGAGAAATGGCAAAGAGGCCTTTGGCTTCTGTAATTGTGTATGAAAAGGCGATTCATTATGCTTCAAGTGCTTCAAGGAATTTTAGTTTGAAGGTGTTTGATTCGTTAACCATCAACATGGCATAGTTTCATCTTATCAAGTGGCTAGTGATGGTGTTCCGGTGTTGTACAAGCTGCTACATCTGCATGTGTAATTGCATTCGTGATGTTCTGACGTCCTAGACCTGAGATTTTTCCTGTCGCAGCCTCTGTGAGAATGTGTACGCCAAGGAAACAGCGGCAAATCTAGGAACCCCTGTGAACGCATCTAGGTGTACAGATGTGACACCCTGAACATTTCACCAGCACAACAACGAAGCACCATCACCAGCTATTTAGTTGAAATAGAACGACGCCCGATTAGTAATTAAGGAAACAAACACCTGTAGAAGAAAACTTGCTAAAAAGTCATTTATCTCCATTTTGGAATCAGTTACGAAGATTATTATAATCAAGTGGAAGCCCTAAAAATGTAAGATTATACAGAGCCTGTGGGGAGGAGGGGGGATGGAAGGAATTCAGGCTTAATTCAGGGAAATGGAGCACAGATCCAGTTCCCTAGATAAAGAGCCTCTGACCAGCAACAAGGAACCTCCCTTGAGGGATCAATTACGAAGAACAAAGGTAGCTTTGACATCTCAGAAATAGCCTGAATTTCTCTTAAGCGATAAACACCGCCACTCCTGGAGTGAAGCAAAAATATTATAAATTTCTATAGTTACTCATGAGAAAATTTAGCTAACATTGCCGGTAATTTTACTACTACTATTTTTTTTTACAATTATCGTGTTGGCGAGGGTGATTTCGTTTTATTTAATAAAATAGTGTTATGGTGAATAGCCATCATGTGTTTGCCTCGTTAAGGGCAAAACTTGTGTAAAACTTGTAGGAAATGTAGGTATGGAATATATATTATATATATATATATATATATATATATATATATATATATATATATATATATATATAATATATTATATATATATATATATATAATATTATATATATATCCTCCATGGGGAAGTGGAACAGAATTCTTCCTCTGTAAGCATGCGTGTTGTAAGAGGCGACTAAAATGCCAGGAGCAAGGGCTAGTAACCCCTTCTCCTGTATATATTACTAAATGTAAAAGGAGAAAATCTTTCGTTTTTCCTTTTGGGCCATCCTGCCTCGGTGGATACGGCCGGTGCGTTGAAAGATATATATATTATATATATATATATATATAATATATATATATATTTATATATATATATATATATTATATATATATATATATAATATATTAGCACACTGCCGATTCCCACCAAGGCAGGGTGGCCCGGAAAAGAAAAACTTTCACCATCATTCACTCCATCACTGTCTTGCCAGAAGGGTGCTTTACACTACAGTTTTTAAACTGCAACATTAACACCTCTCCTTCAGAGTGCAGGCACTGTACTTCCCATCCCCAGGACTCAAGCCCGGCCGGGGGTTTCCTGAATCCCTTCATAAATGTTACTTTGCTCTCACTCCAACAGTACGTCAAGTATTAAAAACCATTTATCTCCATTCACTCCTATCAAACACGCTCACGCATGCCCGCTGGAAGTCCAAGCCCCTCGCACACAAAACCTCCTTTACTCCCTCCCTCCAACCTTTCCTAGGCCGACCCCTACCCCGCCTTCCTTCCACTACAGACTGATAAACTCTTGAAGTCATTGTGTTTCGCTCCATTCTCTCTACATGTCCGACCCACCTCAACAACCCTTCCTCAGCCCTCTGGACAACAGTTTTGGTAATCCCGCACCTCCTCCTAACTTCCAAACTACGAATTCTCTGCATTATATTCACACCACACATTGCCCTCAGACATGACATCTCCACTGCCTCCAGCCTTCTCCTCGCTGCAACATTCATCACCATTATATATATATATATATATATATATATATATATATATATATATATATATATATATATATATATATTTTATATATATTTTTTTTTTTTTTCAACAAGTAGGCCATCTCCCACCGAATATGTAAAACTTGCGATCTTGGCTTAAATAGCAACGCTGATCTTGCCATGTAAGACAAGCAAAAATTTGTGTATGCAATAATTTCGCAAAAATCATTCTGAACCTAACAAAAAAAATATATTTCATTGTGTTTGTTTATTAAAATATTGTAAACGTATCTAAAATATATTTATTTGGATTAGGCTAAAATAAATTGCGTTTGTTGTAATAAGGTAAGTTTTCTAAGATTCTTTTGGTGCAAAATTATAAATTTTTACACTAACATTAATGAAAAAAAATGTCTTTAAACATGTAAGAGAAAATTTTAGAAAGGACTTAATTTTAAATTTCTTGCTAATTGACCAGTTTTTACCTAATATATATATATATATATATATATTATATATATATATATATATATATATATATATATATATATATATATATATATATATATATATATATATGCAAAACAACCACTCTGAAAGAATAAGAGAAATTCCAAGCGCTTTCGTGACTACTCACAATAATGTGAGTAGTCACGAAAGCGCTTGGAATTCTCTATTCTTTCAGAGTGGTTTGTTTTGCATATTTTTGAAATCACCTGTTTACTGTGATCTTATTGCATATATATATATATATAATATATATATATATTATATATATATATATTTATATATATATATATATATATATATATATAAATAATGTGTATGTGTGTGTGTGTGTGACAGTTGGTATCTTTATTGTTAAACGTTTCAGTCAAATACAGAGGCAGTAGGCGTAGTATTGCTAGCTCTGTTTCTGTATTTGATTGAAGAACTTTACTGTGTAGGCGATATGTTTCATCAATAAAGATACTTAACTGTTGCACATGTGTCTTAATCGTCAACTTATCAGTATTTTATACTATTCTTAACATATATTACCGTCATCTAGGCCTTTATGTTCCTCCTGTAAGGCAATTTGATTGAAGATGACATTTGCTGTTAAGTCAAATCCCTCACTGTTGCCCACCGGAGTCTCTGGGAGGGCAGCTGAGCACCCCACCACCAACAATAGCAGAAGTTGAGCCATGACTGTCACCACACGCAAACCCAAAACACACTGATACTTCCAATGTTAGCGTGTTGCACTCTTGCTTGCCTGGGCCCCTTCACAAGAACATATGCACTCTCCGCCTACCCTTGATAAACTGTTCAAAACCTTGCAGTTATAGCAACAAAAGAGGACCTGTTCATATTAAGTTATATATTTACGTGTGAGAGGATGAGGTTTTCTTGCATACAAAGTGTCATTATTTGCGAACAATGCTACTGTCCTAATTGGATGAGTAGAAGTTCACTTTACTAGATGGAGTTTCTCATTATAAAGTAGGCTGCTTCATACGTTCCTGTCCGGAAGTGAGAGCAACAGGAAAAAGCTCCACGAAATTCATACACACACATTTATCAATGCCCTCTCATCCACCCTCGCCCAGTTACAAACACATCACCCTTATCTATATACACCCACATGTCAACAGAAACCCGCCCACAACCCCACACATCTCGCCAAGTTCTGATCATCACGCGCGCGCGCGCACACACACACACACACACCACACACACACACACACACACACACACATACACACAGGATCTAGACAGGCTGCAGGCCTGGTACAGAAATGGCTCCTGGAGTTCAACCCACCAAATGCAAAGTCACGAAGATGGGGGAAGGGCAAAAAAAAAAAAAAAAAAAAAAAAAAGCAGATTACAGTCTAGGTGACCAAAGACTACAAACCTCTCTCAAGGAAAAGGATCTTGGGGTGAGTATAATACCGAGCACATCTCGTGAGGCGCACATCAACCAAAAAAAACCCGCAGCATATGGGGACTAGCGAACCTAAAAATAGCATTCCGACATCTCAGTAAGAAGTTCAGGATTCGTACCCCGTGTGTCAGGGCCATATTAGAGTATACAGCCAGTTTGGAACCCAACCGGGCCCAAGCAACGAGACTAGCCCCGGAGTTTGGGGGAAAATTTCTCCCGGGAGGGGTTCCAGGAAATCAAACCTGACGACACTAGAAAACAGGAGAATGGGGGGAACTGATAACACATTAAAATTGAGAGAATCGACAAGGTAGACAGAGAGGGGATTTTCCCAGAGATGGACACAGCAACAAGCGGTCACAAATGGGTTGAAGATTGGGGGACATAGCGAAGTTTGGAAGTTTCAGTCATAGAGTTATCAGGAAGTAGAATAGTCGGAAATGATGTTGGAGGCGGGTACCATACATAGCTTTAAGAAGCGATTTTTTTCCTATTGTACTTCATTTTGTTTAGAGTGGCCCAGTAAAGTTTTGGTTGATGTCCGCTTTGGGGTCCCGCGGTTCTTGAGGAGGGTCCGCCATAGCAATCAGAAAACAGCAGGGAATGGAAGACACGGAGTATGGCTTACTCTCTGTCAGAAAAGAGGATGGGAATGGAAGGGAGCGAGTACTGTGCCTTGTGGGAAAAAGGCTTTTTCCTTGGCTCCCGGAACTTACTCTTTTTACTACTACTCTTGTTTCTATTTGTCGGAAGTTATAGATCTATCTACCAACTTTTCCTCTATTTCCCTTTTTCCGCATTTTTTGTGTATTACACCCAAAAGGTCACACTTTTCGAAAAACTTTGACAAAGTTATTATACTACTCGTATTTTTAATACAATTAGGCGAATACATACACAACACACACACCACCCACACACACACACACACACGACGAAAAACAAAGGGCCACAAACAAAAGCATAAAAAACAAAATAATAAAAGTAATTGTAAGTAAACACAACTTTGGGGCACGCCCCGCACTCAACACCTTCACCTCAACACGAAATAAATTTCTTGTGTGCTCTGTAGTCTTCTCAAGGGGGGTTCCTTATGCTGTTGAGGGGGTCTTGATCTGGAAATTGGATCGGCTTCGTTCCCGAATTGCAACTTAATGCCCTTACATCCCCTCCTTTCCCCAAAGGCACGAAATAATCTCTACAGGGGACTACAGTGGTGTTACTTTTTAAATATTTTTTTTGGGATTTTATACAGTATATGGTATTTTTAAAAGGGGTTTTTAATGTTAAAGTTTTTAAAAAGGTATTTTTTTTAAAACTGTGGATCTTAAGTTTTTAAAATTTAAATTTTAAAAAATTTTTAAAATAGTGACTAATTTTTAAAGCAAAAAAAACATTTTATGTATTTTTTAAGAAATGAGGTTGGAGAACAAGCTATGCTACTGGGCCCTATTGGAAGTTTTTCCTAACCTATGTAATATGACGGGATATGTTTTGGGAAATGGGATCAAATCTAGAGGATATGTTGAAAATGAAGTGGTTTCAGATCTCAAGGTATTGTTGAAGTGAATGGGTTTTAGTCCCAGGGGTATTGTTGAAGTGAAATGGTTTCAGATCCCAGGAGGTTAATTTTTTAAAGGGGAAGTGGTTTCAGACCCAGGGGGTATATTTAAGGTGAAGTGGTTTCAGATCCCAGGGGTGTATGTTGAAAGGAAATGGTTTCAGATCCCCGGGGGGGGTTATTTGAAGGAAGGGGTTTCAGATCCCAGGGGGTATAAATTTTAAATGAAGTGGTTTCAGATCCCCCGGAGGGTATGTTTAGGGGAAGTGGTTTCAGATCCCAGGATTTTTAAAGTTTAGGCAAGTGGTTTCAATCCCCGGAGGGGTATTGAAACAAGTGGTTTTAGATCCCAGGGGGTATATGTTGAGGCGAAGTGGTTTTTAGACCCCAGGAGGTAATGTTGAAGTGAATGGTTTTCAGATCCCAGGAGGTGTATGTTAAAGCGAATGGTTTCAGATCCCAGAGGTATATGTTGAATGAAGTGGTTTCAGTCCCAGGGGGTATTGTTAAGGTGAATTTTTGGGGTTTTTTCCAGATCCCATAATTTTGAAGGGGGGTTGGGAAGCAAAAAAGGGAAATTCAAAAAAAAATCCCAGGGGAATGGTAAAAAATTTTTTTTTTTGAAAAGGGCAAAAAAAAAAGGGTTGTTGTTTCCCCCCCAAAGATTAGACAAAAAGAGAATTAAAATTATTCCAAAAAAATTTATTAAGTAAATTCCCCAAATAAAACCCCCCCTTTCCTTAAAAAAAAAAGAAAAAAAAAAAGTACCCCCAACAAAAGTTAATAAAAAAATTTTTTAAATTTATCTCCAAGATAAAGTCCCAAATTTTATTGGAAAAAACCCCCCCCCAAGATTTGGGCCCCCAAAGACCCCCAAAAAGGAAATAAAGGGAGCACTCCCCCCCCACCCCCCCCCCCCCCCCGTACCCCCTCCCCCCCAAAAGGGGCCCCCCCCCCCCTCCCCCCCCACCCCCCCTTCCCCCCAAACCCCCGTACTCTGCCAAGCCCCCCCCCCTTTTCCCCCACCCCACCCACCCTGTACTCGCCAGAGCACTCCCCCCCCCCCCACCCTGTACCTGCCAAGACTCCCCCACACCCACCCTTATCTCCCCAGAGCACTCCCCCACCCACCCTGTACTCTGCCAGAGCACCCCACACCCCCCTTCCTGCCAGACACTCCCCCCCACCCTGTACTCTGCCAGAGCACTCCCACACCCCCCCGAATCTGCCAGAGTACCTCACACCCACCCTGACTCTGCCAGAGCCCCCCCAAAAACCCACCCTGTACTCTGCCGAGCCTCCCACACCCACCCTTTCTCTGCCAAGCATCCCACACCCACCCGTATCTCCCCGAGCACTCCCACACCCACCCTGTACTCTGCCGAGCACCCCACACCCACCCTTACCTGCCAAGCACTCCCACACCCCCCCCTGTATCTGCCAAGCACTCCCACACCCACCCGAACTCTCCCGACCCCCCACACCCACCCTGTACTCCCCAAGCACTCCCACACCCCCCCTGTACTCTGCCAGGCACCCCCACACCCCCCTGTACCTGCCAGAGCACTCCCACACCCACCCTTACTCTGCCAGAGCACTCCCCCCCCAACCCCCTTACTCTGCCAAGCACCCCACACCCACCCTGTACTCCCCAAAAGGCCCCCCCACACCCCCCTGTACTTGCCAGAGCACTCCCACACCCACCCTTATCCCCAGAGCCCCCACACCCACCCGTACTCTGCCAGAGCACTCCCCACCCACCCGTACTCTCCCAAAGGCCCCCCACACCCACCCTTACTCTGCCAGACACTCCCACACCCCCCCCTGTCTCTGCCAACCCACCCCCACCCCCCCCCTGACTCTACCAAGCACTCCCACAAAAACCCCTTATCTGCCAAGCCCCCCCAACCCACCCTGTACTCTCCAGAGCACTCCCCACCCCCCCCTTACTTCCAGAGCACCCCCCACACCCACCCTGTACTCTCCCGACACTCCCCACCCACCCCTGTACTCTGCCAGAGCCCCCCACACCCCCCTGTACTCTGCCAGAGCCCCCCCCCACACCCCCCCTGTACCTCCCAGAGCATTTCCCACCCCACCCGACTCTCCGGGCACTTCCCCCCCCCCCACCCTGTATTCTACCAGGCACTTCCACCCCCCCTTTTACTCAAACCAAGACTTCCCACCCCCTTACACTACCAAGCACTTCCCCACCCACCCTGTACTCACCAGAGCACCCCCACACCCACCCTTACACTACCAAGCACTTGCACACCCACCCTGTACTCTACCAGAGCACTTCCCCAACCCCCACCCTGTATTTACCAAAATTTGCACACCCCCCCTGTACTCTACCAGAGCACTTCCACACCCACCCTGTACCACTGGCACTTCCACACCCACCCGTACTCTACCAGACATTTTCCACACCCCCCTTACTCTCCCAAGCACCCCCACCCCCACCCTTTACTCTCCCAAGCCTCCCACTCTCCCCCTTTTAAATTTACCAGAGCACCCCTATCCGTACTCTACCAAGGCACTCCCATTTTCCACCTTGTACTCTACCAAAGCACTCCCACTTTCCCCTTGTACTCACCGGGCCCCCCATTTTACCCTTGTACCTACCAAGCACTCCCATTTTCCCACCTTTATCTACCAAGCAATCCCCCCCTTTCCCCCTTGTACTCTCCCAAGCACCCCACTCTCC